TAGATTTGTTCAATTCATCCACCTACAAATCTCACTATGTTGTGTCAACAGGTACAAAAGGCATGGAATAAAATAACACAAGATGGTATTCACCATCTATATATAATACAGATAGTGAATATGCATATAAAAGTAGAAGCCTGTTAACACCCAATGAGGATATACAGTATATTAATATGGGGTCTACATACTACTGATAGGTGTCAACAAAACTCTGGAGTCTGGATGCTGAAGATAACATCAATCAGTTAAGTGACAAATTTTTTAATGACATTAATATATATATATATATATATATATATATATATATATATATATATATATATATATATATACACACACACTTGTGCGTGTGTGTTTAAAATAGGATACAGAATCCTGCCAAAGTTTTTAAGAAATTTGACAAATGGAAAACCTTTCATTGAAACTAGATCTGAATATGTGTTTCACGTTTCTATGCTTCATCAGATCCAAAAATGAAAGAAGAAATGTGTGTATGTGTATTTGTGTGTACACTTAAATAATGAATCATAGGACTTTTTCCCTAAGTTGGTGTTTCTCATGATTAAAGAAAGAAAGAAGAAAATGAGTGACTTAAAAAAAAAAAAAAAATAACAGTTAATATTTAAGTATTCACACAAATACATATTTATTTATTCTGTTTTTGGATCTGATGAAGCCTAATCAAATCTAGTTTCAATGAAACATTTTTCTATTTGTCAAATTTCTTATATATTACACACACCCTTATCTCTACATATCTATATAAGAATGCCATTCAAATCTGCAAGGAGGGATAGATAGAGGAGCGACACTCTTAAGGTTAATAATGGGTGTTTATTTTTTTTTTTTACTTTTATTACTGCATGGGTGGCAAGGTAGTTATGAGGAGGTTGTTTCTCCAAATGTCACTCACCCATTCTCTTCCCTATCAAATATTGTGGCATGCCAGTAACCTAGCACAGGAACAATGCATAAAAAAAAGTTAACTGATCATTTTCCAAAGATAAACTCGATTAAGTGATTGCATAAGAGGTGAAGGAAAGTCCACCATCCAATCCACTTTACAAAATATCATTAAGTGACTAAACATCAGAATTTTTTTTTTTTTAAATCTCTTTTTGGTTGGGCCAAAAACTATTCTGTATTTCTTGTTTGGTTACACATATTTCATTAATAACAATAAAAAGATTTTTTTTTAAGAATTTTTTTTTAATTGTTCTCATTTTCTAACAATTTTGGCAGAAATGCCTCCCACATAATGGTAAGACATTAGCTAGATGAAGGCATCATTGCACTAATATCTTACCATTATGCAAGAGGTATTTCTGCCACACCCTGTATTTTGTTTAGTATTTCCAGATTATGAACATATTTCCTGAAACTGTTTCTTCAAATGCCTTTGGTAATCTTCAGGGAGTAAGGTTGTTTTTAATCAAGACAAAATTTTGCTTTCTTTCACACACCATATTTTGATAATTTTAATTGGGCTATATACCTTATTGGTGAAATTGAAATGTTTATCATATCAGGTATTATAACTTATATTCAGTTAGATATTCATTTACTCATGGATGCTAATCCAATGTGTGTGTGTAATACACAAGGCACTATTCAAAACGAGGACCTTTAAGGTGCAAAATGGCTTCCTCAACAGAACAATGAAAATGAGGTTTCTTCTTTCTTGGTGCAGTCATTTCAAGTGATATATATGCCATTAGATAATATTGTCAATAGCCACTGAATTTTCAGAGATCCAATAAGTTAGTAATAATAACAAAAAAAAAATCTGTAGATTACTTAAAATAGTCAAATAATGCCAATTCTAGCACAAGATTACATTATTTGATCTACCAATAAAACAAACTGTCTTAGAAAGACACAAAAAGAAAATACTAATCATCACTTTGTAACAGGTGCTCTTTTGTAATGCGCCATATTTTATCGCATTTATCTCAGGTTATAGATATACAAATGTATATTACTAAGCGGATGTAATTTGTACATTTATGAAATGAAAAGCATCAAGTTATTAAATGTACCCAATTTGCTTTTATCAGACAAGAATATTTTTCAGAATCACATTTTTTTAATATATATAATCAAGTAATGCATTTAAGGAAATATAGAAATAAAAATACTTCCTAATTAATCATCAGAAAGTGGTGAGGAAAGTAAGACCAAAAATATCTTGCCACATCAACATCTAAATGTGCTATATAACAGCAAGCATTAGAAATGATTTTCATCCTCTACTTTTGCCTAAACAGAAACTGCTTATCAAAAATGATTGAGAAAATTATAGTTATTCCAAAATACTTTAAAAAATCCATCTTCCTTTTACCTCAAAAGCTACCAAGAGATGCATATTCTTAATGGTTTAATTCGATAACTAGATAATATAAGTTTTGTATAAAATAATGATATCTAAACATTTAAAAACACCAAAATCTAAACGAGTCAAATGTGTTGGTAAGTATATAGCAAACAAATCTGTAACCAGTTAAACATTGTACATAAAGCCATGGGATTTATAACTACTACAGACTTATATCCAAGTGACCCTTATAAAAAAATGGTTATCTTAGTAAAAAGTTACCAACTTTTGAATAAACTTGTATTAATGGATGTTACTGAACTGGCACTTGGATGTATTCAGAGCCAGAAAAGGTGAGTGTTTAAGGTAAAAAGAGTAAAAACCTCTGCAGAGTGACAGGTGATATTTGTACAATGGTCATTAATTATGCAAAGAAGCAGAAGATACCAAAAGAACAGAACCAACTGATGAATATTAGATTTAAAAAAAAAAAAAAAAAAGTACTTGATTTAAAGACGAAGACATTAAAGAAAAAAATATTGAGTTTTTTTGTTTTTTTTAATTAAAATAATTTCTGTTGCAAAGACTGGTTAGTGAAAGATTTAACATTTTATATAGACACAAGAGAACGGTAAATTAAGGCCATGCTACGATGTAAATATACAGAAGTCAAAGTAATGACCAAAAGGACGAAACAGTTTTAAAATCAAGAAAAAAATTTGCCAATTTTCCAAATAGTAAATATGAAATATGCTTACCTTCACCAAGAAGAAACTAATATTTTCTGTGTGCGCACACATTTTTCTTTAAAAATATGTAGCAGCTGTCCAAATGGCAGGAAAGATAGAGAATAGTACATAATAAAGGAGAATTTTTCCAGAAAATTAACACTTATATGGGTCACAGTTGCAATTGTAAATTTTTTTTTTTTTTAAATTTAAGATATATAGAGAACAAGTCCTTATGTTAGCGACGTGAAATACTGCAGACAAAACAGCAGAATTGAATTGCTACCTTCATTACCATGATTAAAAACGGACACAAAGTTCAGAAGACAAGGTCATATATCAGTAACACTTGTAGAATGCAAAAATTTTCCATTTAAAAGGCTTGTGATTTCAGCATAGTACTGACCAAATTAACTCACTATTTAGGCTAGTTTTATATATTTTTATTTTATACAGTACAAGGCAAAAAGAAAATATTAAGAGGAAATGTGTAGTGAACCTACCTGCCTTGAAAATCAGCATTCAAAATCCAGGGTATGAACATCAACACCTGGCATTGTTATACAATTATCAGTCACAAGGCAGGCTAGAACCTAATAATACACTTCTCACTCTTAATTCATAGTCTTATTTAAATCTAGAATCTAGATATTGTTTATTTTTCAACCTTAGCCATATTTTTTTATTCAAAGGTTGTTTATAAAATGCAAGCAAACAAATCTTTTAATTCATAAAGCATAGAAAATATAAAAATATCAAGGGTGTTGCTGCTCCACTCAACGAAACATCAATTACTAAGTTAAGAATAGTTTTGGCATAAGGCCACAAGTGTGTGGCACATAGTGAGGATCAAATTCAGTAATGATCTTTCATACTGGTTTGTTAACCATTATTTCATCATGAAGCACTCATGTACATTTACAAATATTTAAGATTAGCTTAAGCTGACATAAGGCCTCAAGTGTGGAGCACTCAATAAGAAACACACTAATCTGTGAGATTAGCTTTTTATTATGTTACAGTAGGCACCATTCCATACTAAGCTAATTTGGTCACAAGGCAAAAGTAGTGAGCACCCTGAGAGTATTTATAATCTGCTAAACCAGCTTGTTGACCATTACAACATAAGTATAATTTATCATCTTCATCGTGGGGAAGAAATACTGAACATAAGATATAGATAAAGATAAAACCCCCAAAAATGTTGGTGGACTCCCCCCCCCCGCCACTGATTAACTCATCACACTATACACCTAAATTTTCCAAATAGGGAAATGTCCGAAAGCAAATACAAAAGCTGAATTTAAAATTTTAAAATAATAATAATAATACAAAGAAACAAACTGAAAATTAAAAATGCTGATCCCTAAGAAAAAAAAAAAGGAAGTGTGACGACACTGCAGCAGGTCTGAGAAATGGTGCAATATTATTGGTGAGAAAAAATACAAGAATAAAAATCACAATAAAGATACAGCTAATCTGTTACATAGAACCCTGTAGTCATTGTAAATTTGTCCCTCAAAAGAGAAAAAAAAATAGACACACACACATACATATATAAAGTGTATGCTTATTGAGATATCATCTACCTAATAGCATTTCAACTTGTAGCCAAGGCAGTAATAGTAGTAGTTGTACCATTAATGTCATTCCCTACTAGTAATAACATTAGTAAGCAATAGCAAATATTGACTCCATCAATGAACAGAGAATTTCAACAGACAGCCAAGTACAAGAATATTGGAAAGGCGAGGAGGTTGAGGAAAAGGGGTGAAAAATTACACTAGGCAAGTTAACTGACCTTCATTTAAAGATGCGCATAGTACAGCATGGGAGTATATTATATATATATATATATATATATCAGAACAATGTTAGGCAAATTAAAATTTTTCCATTTTGTCATTAATTTGGCTAACATAGTACAGTATATAATATATACTTGCATTGTCTCGTTATTGTTGATATGGTTTCAGCTTTAGAAAAAAGTTCCAAAAGTAAAATTTGTTGCAAAGAAAAGAAAAACAATCTAGAAGTATAAAGAGAAAAGAAGAAAAACAATCTAGAAGTATAAAGAGAAAAGAAGAAAAACAATCTAGAAGTATAAAGAGAAAAGAAGAAAAACAATCTAGAAGTATAAAGAGAAAAGAAGAAAAACAATCTAGAAGTATAAAGAGAAAAGAAGAAAAAAATCTGCAAATGATGGAGAGAAGAAGAAAAAAATCTGCAAATGATGGAGAGAAGAAGAAAAAATCTGCAAATGATGGAGAGAAGAAAAAAAATCTGCATCTGATGAAGAGAAGAAGAAAAAAACAAATGATAGAAGAAAAAAAATCTGCAAATGATGGAGAGAAGAAGAAAAAAATCTGCAAATGATGGAGAGAAGAAGATGGAGAGAAGAAAAAAAATCTGCAAATGATGGAGAGAAGAAGAAAAAAAATCTGCAAATGATGGAGAGAAGAAGAAAAAAAATCTGCAAATGATGGAGAGAAGAAGAAAAAAATCTGCAAATGATGGAGAGAAGAAGAAAAAAATCTGCAAATGATGGAGAGAAGAAGAAAAAAATCTGCAAATGATGGAGAGAAGAAGAAAAAAATCTGCAAATGATGGAGAGAAGAAGAAAAAAATCTGCAAATGATGGAGAAAAAATCTGCAAAAGAAGAAGAAAAAATCTGCAAATGATGGAGAGAAGAAGAAAAAAAATCTGCAAATGATGGAGAGAAGAAGAAAAAAATCTGCAAATGATGGAGAGAAGAAGAAAAAAATCTGCAAATGATGGAGAGAAGAAGAAAAAAATCTGCAAATGATGGAGAGAAGATGAAGAAATCTGGAAATGATGGAAAGATGAAGAAATCTGGAAATGATGGAAAGATGAAGAAATCTGGAAATGATGGAAAGATGAAGAAATCTGGAAATGATGGAGAGAAGAGGAAAAAAATAAAGATTTCATATTACCCTATCTAGGAAAGGGTGAAAAATGGTGTAAGGGCCCAAAGAAAACAAAAGTGAATTTGAATTATTTTTGTAATAAGTTTTGAGAGTTATTTTCAAATAGCCATATGGTTCATAACTGAAGAAAATGTTAAGAAAAAAAAAAAAGATACATAAAAATGAAAATCTACAAAATCCTCTAAAATCTCCAAACCAGGCTTCTGCGTCTTTCTACTTACCAACCCGACAGGGAGAGAAAAACAATTACACAATGACTCCAATAAAAAGAAGTATTAATTGCTTTAATTTAACTTTAATTTGCATCCTTAAAGGAAAGGGTTTTGTTTTCTCAATAATTTTTTTTTTTTTTATCATTTTTCACCATTTTTAATCACTTTAATTTTTCTTTGAATTATTTAGAATTATTTCATTTTTTTTTTTTAATACTTTATTTTTATTTATCTATTTTTCAAAATATTTTTCAGTAATTTAAAATTTATTCTTTTATAAAATATTCTTTTCAGATAATTTTTAATTAAATATTTGGAAAATGAATTTAAAAAAAAAATTGAATCTCAATATTATTTAAGATTTTTATTTTATTTTTTTTTAAATTTCGAGATATTATTTGCATAATTCTACCCGCAACTCCCTTGGAATTATCACCTTTTAGTTGTTTTTAAATCATTTACGCCACAACTTTTCCTTTTATATATTAAAAAAAAAAGTTAATACTTCTACAGAGTGTGTGCGTGCGTATAGAGAGATTTTAAAATAGTGCGTATTGTCTTTCTGGCCAAGCAAAAACAAACAAACAAAAAAAAAAAAAAAAACAGACACCTGATTGAAAGGAATGACGTAAACTATTGCACAAGACCGCTATTCGCGTCGCTCACTCATCATAATCCGAAAAACAGACGGCGGCGGCAGAGACAGCTTTTGCTTCTGCCGTCGTCGGTCAGTCGTATTTGTTTGGGTGTCGTGACAGTTCTCATTCCACGATTTTATTGCATTCTTGTGAGATAATTCTTGCTTGACATTGTTAAAACTAAAAGCGAAAAAAAAAAAAAAAAAAAAAAAAAATTGCTTACTTTTTTTCCAATAAAATAACGCCATTAGGGAGGGGAAATAGATGTGATTAATTTTATTGGAAAACAAAAAACAAAAAACAAAAAAAAAAAAAAAAAGTGAAAATTATTTTTGCATTGAAAAATTTTACTTTTTGGCATGTGTCGGGGAAAATTTTTTTTTTTTTTTAAAGTCTACTTTTCCAGAACAGTCTCGGTCAATCTGACACAACTATATTCTACAATAATACTTAAGTTACTAATATCTATTTCAACACCTTTTTAGCATCTCCCCTGTACCTCTGTTCTGTTTCACCTTGCACAGAAAAGTAAAATTTTTAATGGACTTCATATCGCATTCTTTTTCAAGTCTTTGTCTCGTCGTAAAAATGAAATAAACGGGGAAAATAACCGAAAATATTTAATTTCTCAAAACTTAGTATCCAGTACTATTTGCGATAGTAAAATAAAAGATAAAATAATCACATGATGGAACACTTCCCTCCTCCATAAGCAATGTTGATCAGTCGGCATTATCTGTAGCAAAATTAATATTCATTTTTTTTCCCTATGAAAATCGGAAATTTTACATTTGTTCACAAAGATCTTGTACGACTGTCCAAAAATGAAACATATTCGCAATATAAGGCAGATTAAAAACAAAAACAAAACAAAAACACTGAAGTTACTAAGACCAGACTAGACACCAAGACGGCAGATTCCAACAGACATGTGGAAATAAACCCGATGACAGGGAAAGAAAAATAAAACAGAAATTGACAAACATCGGCACGGAACAAATAGTTAATCGGTAAAAACACAGGTACTTAACAGAATATATACGTAATTATACAATCTGGATTTAATATATAATTATTTTTCGTATAAAAAAAAGGTAATACTTAATTATATGTTTTCAGACTGGATAACAAACAGTAACACCTGTCGTCACTTTTTCTTCATTGCCGAATAAAAAGAGAAAAAAATCATCACAAGGTTTTGCTTTCTCAAGTATTTGCTTATTATTATACTTTTTTACCTGTTAGTTAATATAAAGGGATTATTTAGCCCCTTTTTACTACCCGTTTTAATCAGCTAGCGAGCCCTTTCTACATAATTTTCCGTTTTTCGTTCTTTAAGAGAATTCGAGGGAAACGGGTAGCAGAACCCTCATTTTTTTCTCAAGATGTCTATTCATTTCTTTATCTTTTTGTTTTCCTTAAACTTTTTAAATTTGTTCTTAAATTTATTAATTAAGATATAAGAAACTTCCACAATGTTAAGAAAAAATGTATGAAAACAAAGCCATTGTAAGAAGAAAGATAAGGTGTTTTTTACTAACCTCCATCCATAAAGGCAGACAGCAAAGTATTGCGTTTTTCATAACATTTCCGACTTGGTATTTCTTCAACCTGACTAACAGCATTTTTTTTTTCGAGTAACAATTAATTACGAACATGTGATGAACGGACACTTTTTTTTTTTTTTTTTTTTTTTTTTTTTTGCAGGTTTAAATAAATTAGAATAATTCTTTTTAAAGGAAGAACAATATTAAGTAACGTATTTGTTTTTGTAACAGCTATAAAGTCGTTGGGTTGTTGGAGTGTGTGCAACAATTATAATAATATTCGTGGCTCACACACGAAATACTTCTTTTTAAACGATGACATGTTGCAAAGCAAAGTTTGCAATAATGGTGACTACTTTTTCCGATATAGAAGCTTTTTAAAAAAAAATCTTACAATCCAGTTGAGTAGAAGTAATTAGTTTTACAGTACACTATATACCAGTAGCGTTGATCAGTAACAGCAAGAAGAGATGGCTTGTTTGTGGTACCGAATACTAGTAACATTGCAACTGTTACCAACTTGTATAAATTGCGCACAAGGGTAATTCTGGACTTACTCGAATTATTAGTTAGTGACTACTAGTGAATGGTGTGTACAGTGTAACTGTAAGGGTTTGGTTGAAAACCAGCATTTTCTACAAAAGGAATTTGTGTGTTTGTGTACAAGTAATTACGCAGTTTGTGTGCGTCGATGTGTATATATTTGCGTACATTGTATACACTTGTGTTGTACTAATAAGGGACAACGAAGAGATAAAAGGGAAAATACCATCTGTGGCAAGAAAGTGAGTAAGTGAAATGATGTTTAACATCCGTTAGTGTTTGTGCATTGATGACAATTCACGCTTCACGTTGAGGTTCAGTAGTAACTGGCCAAGGTCCAACTGGTGCGCAGTATTAAAAAAAAAAAAAAAGAAGAAAAAAAAGTTATTCAATTTTAAAGCACATGGACTGCAACAGACACGATTGCTTTGGGCTGGTGCAGATCTTTCTATATCTATGAAATTTGAATCAGAATTCGTCAGTTTTGATGCCTGATGATTGGCATCGGTTACTATATCGAACGTACAACTATCAGAAACGTGTGCGCCGATCTATATATACATAACATAAAACAATTTACACATTTTAAATAAGCAGACACCGGCTGTCATTTGCACAAAATTTATGCATCAAAGTTAACTCACGCATACACGGTGCTTGCTGCAGTTGAATCGGCTCAACTACAAAACTAGTCGTTGTAGGTAGACACTAGACAGACAGGCAGAAAGACAATATGATGCGCACCGGCTATAGCGTTGAACTTACCATCACACGCACACAACTCACACATACATATTCAAGCTTTATCATATGCATATAGACACACCTAAAAAGCAAGTCACGAGGAAGATGATCAAAGTTTGACAGAAGAAACCTTTTGTTAGGGAAAGGTTTTTTAAACTTAGAGGGAAATAAAAACCTGTCTGTATTAATTGTGGGGGATCATAATTGAACGCGGTTTTATTTTCACATCTTTTGAATGTAGGTTTATACAAAGAGGTTGAAACTAAAACGAAAGGGGGGGGGTTAAAAAAAAAAAGGTGGGTCGGGTAATTTGTATGAAGTCATTTTTCATAAAATATTTTCACCCATACATGAAAACTGAAAAGATACGTTTTTAAAGTGATTTAAATTTAATATGCATTAAGATTCCAGGGTAGAAAGAAATGAACGGTATATAAAAACAACTAAAAAGACATTGAAAAACGAACAAAAATTAATAATTAAATAAATTTTGTTTGATAAGATTAACATTTACACACACACACGTAAAAAAATGAATAAAATAAAACTAAAAGTAACATTGTAATCCAATAAGAGAAGTGTTTTGAAACCTTTTCATTATGAAACATTTTTTATTGTGTAAACGAGTTGCTAGTTAAACTTGAACCGAAAACCTTAGTCATAAAAAACTGTCTTTCTCTTCATACACACGACCATTATACCGAAAATCTCAGATTATCTGACCAGACAGCATTTCCCGTGTCTCACAAGTCATTTCACAGTTCTTGAAATCATGTCACCAGAAAATAACGAACCACATTTTCAGTATTTTTTCTTTCTTTCATAGATGAAGCTACTTTCCGCCTTAGTGATTGAATGTTGTAATTTGCTAAATAAATTTTATGATGTAAAAAAAATTGCAAGTATCAACGTTATTGTTGTTGTTACCCGTAAAGTCAGAAATGTTACGTTTGCTAGAGCAAAAGAATGACAGAATGATCAGGGCTTCTTAGGTAAGAAGAGTTAGTTAGCCACTGGACATCACTAATTAAAGGACAAGTTTTTCTTAAGCTTACAGAGTTCAAATCTTGTCGGCGCTACAAGATTGTTTCAATTATTCCACTACCAGAGAATTTGTGTGATACGAATTAAAGTGAATGAAAGTTTGTTTTTTTTTTAATAGCAAATAGCAAGTTAAAAACGAAGTTTCTCAAATAGTGGTATACTGGTAAAGAGAAGAAAATAAAACGAAAGAGAGAGAAGAGGAACGGGGGGGAAGAGAGAGAGGGGGGAGGAGAGGGGGGAGAAGAGGAACGGGGTGGAGAGAGCGAAGCGACGGGAGAGAGAGAGCGAAGCGACGGCGGTGAGGGAGAGAGAAAGAGGTACGGATGAAGAGGGAGAGGGGACAGACGGGGAGACGCAACGAGGGGGGAGAGGGGACGGACGGGGAGACATGACGAGTGGGGAGAGGGGATAGACGAAGAGACGACAAGAGAGGGGGAGGGGACGAACAGAAGAGGGGAGAGGAGGGGACGAACAGAAGAGGGGAGAGGGAGGGGACGAACAGAAGAGGGGAGAGGGAGGGGACGAACAGAAGAGGGGAGAGGGAGGGGACGAACAGAAGAGGGGAGAGGGAGGGGACGAACAGAAGAGGGGAGGGAGGGGACGAACGGAAGAGGGGAGAGGGAGGGGACGGACGGAAGAGGGGAGAGGGAGGGGACGGGACGGACGGAAGAGGGGAGAGGGAGGGGACAGACGGAAGAGGAGAGAGGGAGGGGAGAGACGGAAGAGGAGAGAGGGAGGGAGAGACGGAAGAGGGAGAGGGAGGGGAGAGACGGAAGAGGAGAGAGGGAGGGGGAGAGGAAGAGGAGAGAGGGAGGGGAGAGACGGAAGAGGAGAGAGGGACGGAAGAGACGGAAGAGAGTTAATGGGTGGAAAAAAAAAAAAAAGAGAGAAATAGGGAGGAAATAAAATAATCAGAGAGAGAAACATGGACATGGAGAAAGCACATACTATATAATGTGGAAGAAAGCTTGAAAGAACTCCATTGAACAAATATGATGAAAACATCCCAATGGTAGGTTCTATAAACTTTTTTCTTTCTTGGGGCAATTTGATGGGGAGGATGGAGTTCAGTTTTCACCTTTTCATTAAAACAATTTCTGCCACTTGCACCAACTGAGTGCTTGTATTCTTAAAGTAAACTATATTCAAAGAGAATTATTTCCACTGGGACAAGTTAAATATAAAAAAAAAAAAAAATCTGTAAATGTATTTTTGTACAATGTACACACATTTAACCTGTGTGTGTGTATATTGCTATTGAATAATTGAGATCACTGCAATTTGTCCAAACTGCATGACTAACTATATCCACCTACATTAGATGATCACCTACTCTTATAATACCAATGAATTTAACACAATATTTTATTTGTTTAAATATGACCTAAGAGTAAAAAAGATAGTGTGTGCATGTGTACAAACACATGCACAATTTTTATAATGTGACAAAATCAGAAACGGAAGACAAAATTTACAATCCACAGTGCCAAGTTTGGTAAAGCTCATTATTAATTCAAAATCAGGGCATTTTCAAAAATATTGAGAGAACATTCAAGGATCCATAATGACAAAAAAAAAAAAAAAAAATTTCTAGATGATGAACATGAAATAGGTCACCAGTCAATAGTGATATCCACATAAAACCTCATTTAATAATTTTGATTACTAATGCAGCGGTAAATTTATAAACAACAGATTATTCAAATCTAATACACTCGTAACAGGTGTTGCAGTTTGGAATATTGGACTATCAAAAAACAGGAATATTGCGACTTGATTTTTGCAAGCAACACAATAGATTAAGAGAAAGTTGATGTTGTCGGAAGAATGGCAGGCAAAAAGGTGAATCAGTAATCATGAAATCAAGTGCTGGTTAGAAATATTTTTAATAAACAGTTTATCTTTTGGGATCCACAGACATTTTGGCAGAAAACCTGCACTAAAGAAAAAACATTGTGGTAATTGTTTTAGATGCACAGACAGTAAAGAAAAATATAGATGGAAACAAAATACACACACAAAACCTTATAGAAACAAGACTTAGTATTGCTGACTAAAATTATTCAGTTTTTTAAATACTGTAAGAGAGAGAAACAGATGAGGAAGGGAGACAATGTGGGGAAAGAAAACAGGAGGAAAAGAGAGTGAGGGAGAGAGACAAACAAGATGGGGAACAGAGAGAGGTACAGGAGAAGAATGATAGAGAGCGGTACAGAAGAAGAGGGAGAGAGAGGGAACAGAGAGAGAGGAAAGGAGGAGACAGGAGAAGAATGATAGAGAGCAGGAGGTACAGAAGAAGAACGGAGGACAGAGAGGGGAGAGAGAGGAGCGACAGGAGAGAGGGGGAGACACAAATTGGAGGAAGGAGACAGAGAGAGACAAATTGGAGGAACGGAGAGACAGAGAGAGACGCACAAATTGGAGGAACGGAGAGACAGAGAGAGACGCACAAATTGGAGGAACGGAGAGACAGAGAGAGACGCACAAATTGGAGGAACGGAGAGACAGAGAGAGACGCACAAATTGGAGGAACGGAGAGACAGAGAGAGACGCACAAATTGGAGGAACGGAGAGACAGAGAGAGACGCACAAATTGGAGGAACGGAGAGACAGAGAGAGAGACACAAATTGGAGGACAGAGAGAGACAGAACGGAGAGACAGAGAGAGCACAAATTGGAGGAACGGAGAGACAGAGAGACGCACAAATTGGACGGAGAGACAGAGAGAGACGCACAAATTGGAGGAACGGAGAGACAGAGAGAGACGCACAGGGTAGAGTAATAGAGGCGAGTAAGAGATGAACAAGGCAAGAGGAGAAAGATGTATGAGGTGGCTGAATAGAGGGGAGAGAGAGAGATGTAAAGGTAGAGGAACTGAGAGAGATGTATGGTGTGGGGGACAGAAGAGAGAGGGTGATGCACCAGATAGGAGAACAGAGAGAGAAAGAAAGTGTGAGTGGCAAAAGGTGGATGAATAGCGGGAGCATTTGAGAGAAAGGAACAAGATGGCTCTGAGAAAGAGAGAATTGGTGAGAGAGCACAAGTCAGAGAACAGAGAAAGAGAGAGATGGTAAAGTGTTTGCCTGGTTTTAATATATCCATTCTTGCAGCCTTTTTTACCAACTACACAAACTTCAATTCACATGTTTTTGAATTTGTTTGATATTCTGTGTCATTGACCTGATTGCTGAATCCAACTAGTCTAAAATTTATAGAATTTGGAGCATATTAGCCAGTAACACTAAGAATTTACTACCTATATACCCATTAATTATACTGTTAACCTATCCTTGCTAATTACAATGGAACCTGCCACAAAACTTTTGATTTTGCATTGGAAGACACTTGTCACAAGCAATATTGTGCCACTTACAATTCTTTTTTAGCTTTTCTTTTTTATTTTAGAAACAAGACATTGCAAAAATGTAAGCAAACCTGATTAAATTAATGCCAAATGGGTAGAAGAGAAATACTTTTTCAAATAAAATTGTTATTCATGGAAAGTTTTAATTTTTTTTTTTTTAATGAAGTTAGTATGAACATACTTAAAAATAAAGTATTATATAGATAATATAAAATAATTTAAATATTTCTTTCCATTATTAGCCAGAGATTGTAAGATAATTTAAACTAAAAAATAAAGTGAAGAGGATTTTGACTACCCTATATCTAATAATGTGACTCAGCTGATCATTGGTTGCAAAATGTTAGCTCAAAAAGAATATAAGAGGCGCCATAAGATATGCCTTTACATACATTGGTTATTGTATTGAGAATATGGATACCAAATTTTATTGGTACAAGCATGTGCCTTGAAGAACAACTGAAAGCTCACAATATTTTGGGACGATTTTCAGACAAAATCGGTTTCTAGATAATTTTATGCTAGGTAAAGGAACCAATAACTGTCATATTATTGATGCTGCCATACCAAATGACACAAATATAGCAAACAAGGTAATTGAGAAAATTACATACTTTGAATTGCAAGCTGAGATGTTAAGATTGTAATGCAGAAAGGGAATGTCAAGGTGATACCAGTGGTGATTGGTGCATTAGAACCAATCCTATTAAAACTGTGCGACTTCCTTGATGAGCTTATGGTGGGTGACCAACACATTTGACGTATTGTTTTGTAAAATGTCCTTTTTATGTTCATATAATCATTTGATTCCTTGAGGTTTCTCCTATGTATTTTTGTGACAATTATTACTGCCAATGAAGTAAACTACTCCTCCAGATTTTAAATTACTGTTTTGTTTAGTATTGACTAAGTTTTTTATTCTTTTGGATGTAGTAAAACATAAATGTCTAGAAAGTGCTTTGATCACAATGTCATCTACAGTAAATTTACACCCTGGATCTTACAACATTCCACTATTCCTGGCTGATCTTCTATTATCTTAGTGTCAGATACCTACTAACAAAAGTGAGGGAAATAAAAATAAAAAGACTAAATGAATTCAGCTAAATAAAAAAAATAAATAAATAAAAATAAAATCTAAAAGCCCCCACCATCCCCCATTTGTGCACATGTGTAGTCATAGCAACATTACAAATTTAGTTTGTTGAAGTTCTGAAGGATGAAACATGTCACAAGTAAACATTTTCCACTTTATCATACAATTTCCCTATATATATATATATATATATATAAAATATGCATGTTGGTAAGATATAGGATTTGAATATAGGTGGAAAAGACTTTTATTGATAATGTGTCTCACCTTAGTCAGGTAGTTTGGTAGGCATCATCAGGTCAGAATGAAAAACCTTACATTCTTTCATTCTGACCTAAAACACTAAGCTGTCTAACAAAGGAAAAACTCTCACTGTCTATATATATATATATATATATATATATATATATATATATTTATTTGCTGTCTCTTCTGCCAGGAAACTCAAAATGGAGACAACCTATATTCTGTGTTACAGAAAAAACAAGCTGAAAAGAACTAAAATCTAGATTCAAGAAATCTACACTGCATAATGACAATGAGCAATTTACAATACCAAAGTTTTGTGAAGAATAAAGCCATACAATAAGAAAGCAAACAAAATCCGGATATCATTTGAAACAGTAACATAACAAAAGAAAACAAAAAAGTAGCAAGAAACTACCAAAATAGTACAGATGCCCCACCGATTACTCAGCAACTGGCTAGAAACCTTGTTGTGTGGATCATTAATGGATAGTAGATTTGACCCTCATTCTAATCTCCAAGCACAAAATGTAAGCTACACTTAGTAAATAACTATACAAGTGAAAGATCATCATAGAGTCAAACACACTTGAAGAGAAATACAATGTAACTTCATTATTACCTGTTTTTGATTAAAACAAAAACAACTGTCATTTGAGAATTATTTACTTAAGCATATGAAATCAATAAAAAATGCTGTCAATTTTTTTTTTTAACATCCTGCATTATTGGCTTCTGCTATATCAGGGTCCAGATATTTCCAGTGTATATTCTGAAATTACTTTTTATTGTCATAATAAATTACATTGTAATTTCTTGATCGGAAAATTACTCCAATGAATCTATATAAATTCATGTGCATTTCTTTCTCTCATTATTTGATGGGAATAATATTTATAACATATTTATTAGCCATTGAGACATGATTAATCCTGCAACTTGGTGGTTTACAAACATTCACATGGACACACATCCAAATATCTAGATGATCAGAGACTGGCAGCCGATTTCTCCTCTGACATTAGTTCTAACAATTAAATGAAAGGAAAAACTGGTTTATAATATTCAATACCTCCAAAACCAAGTGAGTAATATTGCATCATCACTGAGCAGGCCCTGAATTTTCTGTCATGATGAATAATTGTTGTAACCTAGGGAAGGTTAGTGAGTAGAATAATCAAACGAAGGTTGGTAATGCACAATAATACTTAGGACAAGAACAACACATATAAGATTTGCCAGCAGCCTTTAGAAGTAGTAGTCAACTGCTAGAAGTGAGTCAAGTGAATTCCACAATGAATCTCCAACTGCAGACCATGACCATTTACTACTGTATTTATGTGAATGGGGACATACCAATTATTGTTTGTAGGTATACTACAACAATAAGTACTATCAATGAGGATCCTTGTTTTGAATGTCTACTAGGATGCAAGTTCAACTCAACTGGAACATATAAAAATACATCACTAAAGAGGCTGGAAAAATAGTCAGTTCCTTGTACCACTCAAGAAAGTATCTGATTCCTTCTCTCATGCTCTATCTTTGCAAGAGTGAGATCACACCAAAAATGGATTAATGCTGCCATATCTAGGCTGGAGCTGCACAATCCTCTATTTCTCATGATGCTGCTGCAGATTTTGCAGGAACAAAATACATTTGAAAGGTAGCTTAATATATTGATATACATTGTTTTGTTTTTTTAAATAAAATTAATTAACCCTGTAAATGATTGCAATCATGAAACTTATCTTCAAAGTTCAATTGTTCTGATTTAAAGAAGCTAAGAAAATAAATGAATCTGATAGATAAACTGTAAATTGAAAAAATTTAAGAAAATTCAAATAAAAGCTTATATATAAAAAATGGGAATAAATACTCAAATTGACAGTTTGACAAAATGACAAATTTATGTGAAAGGCATTGATATAATTGTGTATATTTCTGAGATTGTAACTACACTATTTACATTGATCAAATTGTTGTCCTCATCTTTATTGTCATATTCATGATGTTTTGGTCATTGTATGCGCTGGCCTTCTTCAGATGATATACATTGGAATTTCAAACCAAACCTTTTATTTAGTCCACATAGATTGGTAGATTGTTCTAGTTCCACATGCCATGCCTTTTCTGGATATCTCAGTTTAAGAACACAAATCTCCAAGTTTTAGTTCACCTCTACTGTAGCCAGGTATTTAACTCGCAACTCTTTGGGTCAAGTTATTAGATTACTTCAACCAATGCTTTTAGCCTTGAGAACATCAGTGAATAAATTTTGGGGACTTATAAATCAAATGTCTCAGTAAGCGCCATGGACTAAAAAAAGTTTGATCCAAACTTCAGTGTATATCACCTGAAGAAGGCTGAAATGTACAACGGCTGAAACATTATGAATATGACAAAGATGAGGACAAATAATGTAAATATTGATAGAATTGTTTTGCAAGGATTTTATCTTATATTACATTTAAATCTTTTAGATAGCAAAAAGAGAAATTTTACTAAGAGCTAGCTAAGAATTTGTAGAGAACTATGATCTCGCACTTTCTGAAGGGACATGGCATATACAAGAATAGCTCTCAAAGTTAATAGAAACATCAATGTTTGGGTTTATCATAAATATTTGTCTATAATGGTTGGACAAAGCCAAAATGTTGAATCAAGTGGACCATAGTGTTAGTATATTAGAAAAAAAAAAAAAAAGAGCAAAATTATAGAAAAGACAATGATTCAAAGAGGAAAACAATGAAAGACAATAAAAATACTCAAGTGATGATGGAATGGTGTAACAGAAAAAGGTTATAAATATTCAAGGTGCACCCCAGAACTTTCAAGACTTTAGGAAAGGCAGTTATAACTGTCCTAGATTATTGCAAATTTAAAGTATCATTACTACATATCTAATAATCTGACCTGCAACTTTTGAAGGAGACTGTTGTAACAGCCTTTGAACATACCCTACTAAACACTACTTGTCACAGCTGACTAATTCAATTTGCAGTCAGGGCATGAAGAAGTTTTCTATATAATAAAGTTTTGTGTTAAACTAAGCAAAAATGATACAGAAACTTATGAAATTCCCAAAAATGCTTATAGATTAACATCAATTTTTTTTACTAACACAAGAGATTCAAGAATGGTAGAGAGGAGGTGAGAGATGTGGGAGAGAGAATGATGTCAGAAATTTGCATTTTTCTAGAAGAGTGTATGCTTACTGTCTATAAAGACAGTAAGGACACAGTTTGGAGATGGCGTGGCAATTCTATAGAGAATTTATCATGAAAATCTGAGCATGTGTAAAATTTCTGCTGAGTTTGTTCCCAGGATGCTCAGTGTTAGACAGAAGAAAAGACACTGGAAATGGTTGATGGGCACTGAAACTGTTCCTCATCC